AGGGAGTTTGTGCCATGGTTTAGTATATATACTTTGTTGCAAAGTTGATATAAATATGCATTGTTGCTTGAGATTGATCCGAGTCTTAATTAATAGAAGCCTCGCATAAAAAAAAACAGTCTTATATATATACAGAAATATGATATATCAGTCGACAATCTTTCAAACGAAAACGTCACTATTCCCATGTATGGAAATTGGCCGTTGAAGGTCCAAAATAGAGATTAAAATTAAACTTCTCCAGTATAAAGTAAAAGCAGAGAGAACAGATATGTACATAAGTCAGGCCGTTATTTATGGCACGTCAAACGTTTTAATATTCAAAAAAAGTATTGATTAAAAAAAAATATGTTCAAAACTTACATATATATATATATATATATGCAAAAATTTTCTATATATATATTCAAAAAAATTTAAAAATTATGTAATATTTTTCAATATATATTCAAAAGATAAATTTTTATGTGCTTTCAAATGTTGAGCTAGCGGTCGGAAAAAATATGGTGCTATATTGCACGAATTGTTATGGAAATTCATTCATGTCCAGTGTACAAAGTAGTACCGATATTGTCGACATCGCAAAGTAGGCAATGTCGACACAACATTGTACAACGTTGTCGACATCGTTTCATACTCTAATCTACATCGTTGACATTGACGATATCGCGAAGTAGACAATGTCGACACGATGTTGTACAACGTTGTCGATATCGTTTCATACTCTTGTCAACATCGTTGACATTGCCGATATCGCTAACACATTACTCGTGTTTACATTGTTAATTTTGAATACAACGATGTCGACATTGTGTTGTACTACTTTGTTGATATCCTTTTATCATCTTGGTTCTGCATGGTTGGCATTGCCGACATCGCGAAAAAGATAATGTCAAAACACTGTATTACAACGTAATCTATAATGTCAACATCGCAAAGATGTTGAGGAGGACGAGAGGGAGGAGGACGAGGATGATAGAGATTTGCAACATTAAAAAACTGTCCAAATAAGTTCTACTATTAAGAACATCGACACAGGCGTAATATAAATACATTATTTGAAATTGAAATTGATAAACTAAACACTTCTTTATTTAAAAAAAAACGATGAAGGCGATGTCAACGATGTAGACAGGAAAGGGGCACGATGTAGACGATGTCGTCACGATGTTGTTAACATCGCGATATTGGCGATATCAACGATGTAGACAGCAAGAAAAACGATGTAGACGATGTCGTCACGATGTCGGCGATGTCAACGATGTAGACAGGAAAGGGGGACGATGTAGACGATGTCGTCACGATGTTGTCAACATCACGATGTCGGCGATGTCAACGATGTAGACAGGAAAGGGGGACGATGTAGACGATGTCGTCACGATGTTGTCAACATCACGATGTCGACAATGTCAACGATGTAGACAGGAAAGGGGACGATGTAGACAGCAAGAAGAACGATGTCGGCGATATCAATGATGTAGACAACAAGTAAGACAACAAGTAAGACAATGTTGCGAGCAGGTATAAATCATGAACGAAGTTGACAATATCGGCGATATCGTATCTACATCGTGCACTGGACATACCTCGAATTGTTCGGCAAATTTTGAAATTCTTATAATAGATAATCAGCACTGATGTGATTAGGGAATTGTGATTTTAAAGTACCTACGGAATAAACATTATGTCCAGCTTATCCTGCATAATGACGATCACGAAGACGCTTGATGAACTTTAATAGTACAATGATACAGGCGGTCCCCTCTATTTGTTAAATGACGTCATAAAAGCGTAGCATTATGTCACCACTGTTTCGGAGTTTGAACTCGAAAGTGGTCTATTATTGCATTATGGGTAATATTTGTAATGAAAGCAATACAACTCGCCCCACTGCCAAATCGCCTAACTTTTAACCAACGCCCAATCATGTTAACTAGCTCGCCCCACTTATGTATGTACGTATATTCCTCCGATATGCGAATCACCCCTCGAGAGCTGCGAGGGTACAGTGGAATACGTGCACACTCCCTATAATGATTAATGGAGATATATCAATAACCTATATACAACCCACCACCACGGATAATCCCCAACCCATCACCAAGGGAGTGTTTGGACACTGTTATTATTATGGTGGAGGAAGCCGAAGTATTCGGAGAGACCCACCGTGCTCCTTGGCGGAAACAGACAAATCGAAGGCGAAGAGATATATACAGATTGATATCCAGGTCATTGCGGGGCTATACTTTGACCTACAGAGGCCCCCAAAGTATCCATTCTAGTTTAAACTCCGTGACGGTCTAGGTACCAACGATGTAAATGAAAAAGAGTTTCATCCCGCTGAATTTAGGCCTGCAAACTCGCCCCACTAATGAAAAAGAGTTAAATCCTGCTGAATATAGTCCTGACAACTAGGCCCATTTATAAAAAAAGTAAAAGCTCGGTAAATTTAGTCCTGCCAACTCGCACCACTTATTAAAAAGAGTAAAATGCCGATGAATTTAGTCCTGCCAACTTGCCCTACTTATGAAAAGTAGTTTAATCTACCCATCTCTCCAACTGTACTGCTAAAATAACAATAGACAACAACAAAAATCCACTTGTAACACTTCTAAAAATAGAAAATTTAATATATGATTCTGATTGAAATTAAATAATGCTTCATTTCTTAAAATAAATTTGTACATTTATTCATTATTATGTAATTGTTGTATTTATTTGAGAATAACTTAAATTTTTTCAAGCTTACTTATTTGAATAATAATGGCAAAATGAAACCAGTTAATTATGTCATAATGCGATATATTATCATAACAATTTAAGGATTCCAATTTAACAGCAATTTGTTTTTATATCAATAAACGGATTGGTAACGTTTGCGGACGGTTGGAAACAGGTGCGTTTAGAACGTTAACATCTTCGCAAGTCAAACAGATATTGTGACATATGTCAATACCATCGTACATGACAGAATCGCTGATACTTACTTCTTTCTGCTTTGTTTCAACTTGGGACTATCATACTAACATTATGTCCCAGTTTCAACCAAAAGAAAAGAAGTAAAAACAACATCAGGCCTTTCTAAGATTTTCATCTGTATTCATTTAATTCTTAAATGGGGCGAGTTAGTAGGTCTTAATTCTTTTTTTCATAAGTGGGGCGAGTTGGTTAAAAGCTAGGGCGATTTGGTAGTGGGGCGAGTTGTCTTGCTTCCATTACAAATATTACCCAGAATGCAATATTATTGAATCTATATATATTTTTTACCACATCTATATATAAAATTTTGCGCATAAAAAATCATTTTTTTAATAAAAAATAGAAAAAAATATTGCATAATATATTTGTAAGTTTTGAACATAAAGTATGTTTTATAATATATAGATATAAAAATATTGCATATAGATACGAAAGCCTATTAGGGTCACAAAAAACACTATCGCGTAATTACGAGATAATTATCGCGTAATTACGAGAAAACTATCGCGTAATTACGAGATAATCCATTTTTATCTCGTAATTACGAGATAATCATTTTTTATCTCGTAATAACGAGATAATTATCGCATAATTACGAGAAAACTATCGCGTAATTACGAGATAATTATCGCGTAATTACGAGATAACTATCACGTAATTACGAGGTAACTACGAGATCATCATCGCGTAATTACGAGAAAACTATCGCGTAATTACGAGATAAGAAGTTTTTTATCTCGTAATTACGAGATAATTATCGCGTAATTACGAGAAAACTATCGCGTAATTACGAGATAATCATTTCTTTATCTCGTAATTACGAGATAATCATTTTTATACGCCCGTTTACGGAACGTATTATGGTATACCGTTGTCCGTCTGTCCGTCCGTCGTCAACATGTCGGACATTAACCCAAAAACGCTTTAACTAATTTGCATAAAGCTTTGGTGAATTGTTTATGTCTATTGACGTGAGCTCCCTTTCGTTTTTTATATATTTAAGATTTTACGTTTCCGAGTTACAAGGTTTTATTCATACGTAAAAAAGGGGGATTTTCCAGTTTTCGGACAAAAAATAAAAAATGCTTTCAGCAGTTCTTATAAAACTTTGGTGAATTGTTTATATCTATTGATGTAAGCTCTGTTTAGAATTTTATAAATTTTTCATTTATCATTTCTGAGTTATTGGGTTTTATTCATTAATAAAGGGGTGATTTTCCAGTTTTCGGACAATAACTCAAAAATGCTGTCAGCAATTCTCATGAAACTTTGGTGAATAGTTTATATCTATTGATGTAAGCTCCCTTTATATTTTCATAAATTTCTAATATGACATTGAGAATTAATTGAACTTTATTAGTTTATAGTCTGACAACAGATTTACTAAGTATTGCGCAACAGCACAGTGTATTGCACTACAGCAAGAAATCTTTAATTGAATATAAATTCAATTCATATAACAAATTTCAAGTTCTTTGACTACACTTATTCAGAAACCTATAATATGTCAAATATTTAATTACAATCCAAATTCAGACCTGTATCAAGCTTGAATATTGTGTCCATTTTTGCCCCAACTGTTCAGGATTGTACCTCTGCGGGCGTATCCAGCTGCGCTCAGCGAAGCAGTTTATTTTATCTCGTAATTACGCGATAGTTTTCTCGTAATTACGAGATAGTTTTCTCGTAATTACGAGATAAAAAAAATGATTATCTCGTAATTACGAGTTAAAAAAATATTATCTCGTAATTACGCGATAGTTTTCTCGTAATTACGCGATAATTGTCTCGTAATTACGCGATAGTTTTCTCGTAATTACGAGATATTTATCTCGTAATTACGAGATAAATAATTTTTTTTTGTGACCCTAATAGGCTTTCGTATATATATTTGTAAGTTTTGAACATAATTTTTTTTTTAATCAATATGTTTTTTTAATATTGAAACGTTTGACGTGCCATAGTTATTTTTCTCGTTTGGAATTGTTTAACATTTGTCATTTCGTTTTTTTTTTAGCTTGCTATGCAGTATGGGTTTTGCTCATTGTTGAAGGCCGTATGATAGCCTATATGTCGTTTGGTATCTGATCAGGTGTAGATTCATGATCTTGAAAAAAGGGGTCCCCTAGAAAGCCAACGTTTGGAGTTAAAAAGATAAAGACATCATTCAAATAACCAGACTACTAGTGTATTCATTTGTTGTGCATTTATAAACGCGAAAATACCCTCAACTTAGACACTTGGTAAGTACATTTATACGCTGAAAAGTTGAAATTTATCTTTAACGAACAAGAAAAGATGATATATATATATATATATATATATATATATATATATATATATATATATATATATAGATAGGTGTAAGGAAAACTTTGTTGAAATATTGTTTACCTAAAATGTAAAAACAGATGAACGTAAATATGACTATATTATAAAGCAAAGTGGACAAGCTTACAAAAATAATCAAACTACGCCCATCTTTGAAAAATACTCAAAATCTACTCACATCTTTAAAACCTGCCTACAACCAATAGTGTATTGAAATAAAAATGTAAAATTCAATATAAAGTTTGTGACTAGCGTAATATGGAAGTCGCACATCTTTTAAAACCTGCCTACAACCAATACGGTATTAACATAAAAATGTAAAACTCAATATAAAGTTTGTGACTAGCGTAATATGGAATTCCATTTAGGACCTCCTTAACATATAATTTGGATTCGAAATCCCGAATTAAAAACAAACTTGTGAACACAAATATTAATTATTCGTTATTGGATTGAACTCGTGATATTGAATCTGAGGAGTTAGGTATTACAGATTTTTGTAATTCGTGATCATGTATTCAATTCGTTATCACAAATTGCTTTCAATCATGAAACGGATGAAATATTCGTTATCACAAATTTCTTTCTATCATGAAACTACGAAAGCCCATTTAGGACCTTCCAAAAAAAAAAATGAATTCGAAATCACGAATTTAAATCGTTATCACGAATTGTATAATTTGTTATAACAGATTAAATTTGTGATAACGAATTGTTGGAAATCGTTATAACAAATTTTATAATTCGTAATTACAAATTAAATTCGTTATCACCATTTTTTGTAATTTGTGATAACGAATTAAAATCGTTATAACGAAATGTATAATTTGTTATAACGGATTATATTCGTGATAACGAATTTGTGGAATTCGTTATCACAGTTTTTTTTGTAATTTGTGATTTCGGATTAAAATTCATTATCACAGATTTTTAGCTCACCTGACCCACAGGGTTAAGGGAGCTTTTCTCCTCACTTTATGCCCGTTGCTGTTCATTACTTTTACAAAATTATTCTTCACTGAAACCTTTTTGCCAAAGTGAAACAAACTTGACCACAATCCGTTGCGATTTAGTTTTAACGCATTTTATTTGCAAAATTAGCAAAAGGGATTGGACACAAACTGAAACAGCATTAGTGACGTCTTCTCCATGTACAAATATAAACACAAAAACACTGTACCTAGAAGTTTTTGTCGTGTAAAATGGGTGGGTTAACTCACAAACTGATAAGTAAGTTTATAAGTCAGCGACCCAGTTTACACACCAAAAATCTCCAGAAAAAAAATGTGTCTAATCCTCATATTTCTTGACCGATATAGTTTTATTCCTTATTTTTCATTTAAAGTCTTTTTAGACCGGCGAATATCATTAGTGTGTATCGCGCATGGATACATTTTACACAGAGGCAACGAAAGTAGTTTCGCCAACATGGTTTATCGAAGTGTAAACCTAGGAAAGAAAATCTAACAGACCAATCACATTTATTGATATGCTAATACTATAACAATTATTTAATAATGACGAAAACATAATAGGAGTGCATGTAATTCAAAAACAAACACAAGATATAAAGAGGAAGAAAATAGAATATAAGTGCACAAGTAGATAAGGCTAGTCTGGAGTAAAGTGAAGTGAGAGCAATAAATCATGGTTTCTAGTTCGAAGAATGTGTGCAATGAGCCCGCAAGCGTAGCAAAATGGACGACATGGCCTAAAATAGAACACAAGGGTAAAATGCAAGTTTGTTTCTTTTATCTTGAAAACCTTTATAGAAAGAGAATTGTTTGGAATCACAAGATTTACGTACTGTCTCTTTACATCAAAATTGTAAGATGACTATTTATAGGAATAATTTTCCTTTATTGACGTTTTTTTTTTTATTTTTTGTTTTGTCTATTATTTTGAAAATTATAATAGATAGAGAGATTCTTTCAATCAATTATTATAGCGAAAATGATCACTAAGAAAGCAAAGATCTACAAATAATTACACATGATTGAAAGCGGCAATTGACCCTTTCTTACCCTTATGTTCTATTTGTGGCCATGTTGTTCCGCAGGCGGGCTCATCGCACACATTCTTTATAGTAGATACCCTTATTTATTTCTCTCTCCTCACTACACTCCAGGCTAACCTTATCTTATATATACATTTTATTCCATTTTCTTCTTCCTTATATCTGTTGTTTGTTTTTGAATTGCATGCACTCCTATTATGTTTTCGTCATTATCAAATAATTCTTAAATTATTAGCATATCAACAAAAACTTGAATATGATTAGTCTGTTCGATTTTTTTTGCTGGGTTTTACACTTCGATAAACCATGTTGCAAAAACTACTTCTGTTGGCTCTGTGTAAAATATATTCATGGGCGATACACACGAAGGAAATCGCCGGTCTAAAAAGACTTTAAATAATAAAATAATGAATAAAAATGTATCGGTTACGAATTATGAGTATTAAACACATTTTGTATGCCCCCGCCGCTAGGCGATGGGGGCATTAAGTCTAGTCCTTGTCTGTCAGTCCAGTCCGTCCGTCGCGTACGTTCTCGTCCTCTAACTTTAGTTTGCCTCAATCAAATGTTATAAAACTTATACACTATGCTTATTACCACAAAACACAGATCAAATTTGAAATTGAATGGCGTCACTTCTATCGTTCTTGAGTTATGCCCCTTTATAAATAGACAAAGTGCTAAATCTGTCGTTTTCGTTCTCTACATTTAGTTTGCCACAACCAAATGTTATTAAACTACTATACACAATGTTTATTACTTCAAAACACAGATCAAGTTTGAAATTGGGTGGCATCACTTTTACCGTTCTTGAGTTATGCCCCTTTACAAAAACAAAAAACAAACAATATCCCTAATTAAGTGTCCAATCCCTTTTTCTAAATTTGCAAATAAAATTCGTTAAAACTAAATTGATTGTGGCCAAGTTTGTTTCACTTTGGCCAAAAGGTTTAAATAAACAGCTGCGCCATGAGCGCATGATACGCCCGTCGTCTTGTGTGTGAATTTTTATGCAATAATCATAAATAGTTTCTGACATACGGCCTGACATGCGAAAACCCCCTTTTTTTTTACAAAAAACTCAATATCTCTAAAATAAAATTTTGAATCAAAACCAAAAAGTATACAGATCTTAAGATTAATATAACTAATAAGTGTGTAAAATTTTAAGCAATAATCATAAATCGTTTTTGAGATACGGCGCGACATGTGAAACCCCCCCCCCCCCTCTTTAAAAAAAAAATCAATATCTCAAAAATAAAATTTTGAAACAAAACCAAAAAGTATACAGATCTTTAGATTAATATAACTAAGAAGTGTGTAAAATTTTAAGCAATAATCATAAATCGTTTTTGAGATACGACGCGACATGTGAAAAACCCCTCCCCCTTTTTTTACAAAATACTCAATAACTCAAAAATAAAAGTTTGAATCATCACCAAAAAGTATACAGATCTTAAGATTAATATAAATAAGAAGTGTGTAAAGTTTTAAGCAATAATCATAAATCGTTTTTGAGATATGGCGCGACATGTGAAAAAAACCCTCCCCCTTTTTTTAACAAAATACTCAATATCTCTTAAATAGAATTTTGAATCATCACCAAAAAGTATACAGATCTTAAGATTAATATAACTAAGAAGTGTGTAAAGTTTTAAGCAATAATCATAAATTTGTTTTTGAGATACGGCGCGACATGTGAAAAAAACACACACCTGTTTTAGTTACTAAGTGTCGTAACTCAAAAAGTTTTAATCTTATTTTCACCAAAAAGTATACAGATCGTTTGACCATCATAAGAAACAACTATGTCAAGTTTCATGAAATTTGGATAAGTCGTTCTCAAGTTACGGTGCGACATGTTTACGCCGGACAGACATACGGACAGACGGACAGACGACATTTGTATACCATAATACGTCCCCCTCCAAATTTTGACGGGCGTATAAAAAAGAAGATTTTTGTAAAATTTAATGAACAGCTACGGGCGCAAAGTGAGGAGAAAAGCTCACTTAACCCTGTGGGTCAGGTGAGCTAAAAATCTGTGATAATGAATTTTAATCCGAAATCACAAATTACAAAAAAAAACTGTGATATAACGAATTCCACAAATTCGTTATCACGAATATAATCCGTTATAACAAATTATACATTTCGTTATAACGATTTTAATTCGTTATCACAAATTACAAAAAAATTGTGATAAGGAATTTAATTTGTAATTACGAATTATAAAATCTGTAATAACGATTTCTACCAATTCGTTATCACAAATTCAATCTGTTATAACAAATTATACAATTCGTGATAACGATTTAAATTCGTGATTTCGAATTCAAATTATATTTTTGGAAGGTCCTAAATGGGCTTCCGTATGAAACGGTTTAATTCGTTATCGCAAATTTTAAACAGATTTTTGTAATTCGTGATCACGGATAAACTTTGTTATCACAATTTTTTGTGATGAAGAATTTAATTCGTGATTACGAAGTACAAAAATCTGTAATAATTAATTCCAAGATTCTTTATTATGAATTTAATCCGTGATAACGAATTGTAATTCACGATTATGAATTAAACAAGTTAATGCTCATAACGAATTACAGCGATTTTAATCCAAGATAACGTTTTTTTTTCAATTCGTGATCTCTAATTTTAATGGATGCCCTAAGTTGGCTTTATGTAACCGAAGATGAATTTTGAAAAATCACATTCATAAAAGCAAATATGATAACTTGCCATCAGAAGAAATGAAAGCATTGACAGATCTGTGAGTACGAAAGGTTCAACCATGCAGTCATTGACAAAATCTATACGCTCTAAGAAAAATGTTAACGTTTCATGGACCTCAGCAGTAATATAAGCTGAGATTCTTGTATTTATGACGTACAAAAGAATTATAATACTAAACTAAAGAGAATAAATTTCTTGCTTTGTTACTTATCATGACATCTGTGTCTACGCCGTAAAATCCGGATAATTTTATGTGATGTATTAAATGTAAGTAATTATTTTCAAATTGGCATATGGTAACTCATATTAAACCAGAATGAATAAATTTATAAACTATTAAACGAAATTATTCGAGAGAATCTTTGCTAAGAATATCATTATTCCTGGGTTCCTTCAGAGGTAGAACAGCGAGGTAAGACATTTGGAATGTAATACTCAGACACAGGTAAAGTTATCATTTCAATCTCATGTTTATGATTTTTTCTTCAATGGGCTACATGTTGTAAGTGAATACCAGTTTTCCAATAACTAATTTTAATATAAGATAACTGTTTTACCAAATCAACTGGCGGTAAAAAATAGGCGGATGACACCAAAGGGATATTCAGAATCACAAGTCGAAGACAAACTGACTACGCCAAGTCAAAAAACGAAAAACGACTAAATGACAAACTAAAATCTGAGCAACACGAACCCCACCAAAAACCGGGGTAATCTCCGGTTATCCGGAAGGATACGCATAACGGCCAAACAACTCGTCATGGCGTCTGTAAATTTTTTTCGAAGGGATGACTTTTACTTCACCATTTGGAACCTTGGCTTAATAGCTGCCCTGTAGTCAGCAACTCTCTATTAAGGAAATCGTGATAATAAATAAAAGCTCAGGCCTTGTGGTCATATTATCAGGCTCTTGAATATCGTTTGAACTAGGAGATATATACTCCATATTCAGGCGTAGCTGAAATGTTGCTACATAAAAATTGAACAAGTCGACAAGAGGAGCATAGTTGGTTCCAATGGGAAACACGCTCTCCAAACATAATAGGACAAGAACTTACTCCTCGACCTTTAGACTACTATAGAAAAGTTTCGTTTTTTGCTGCTTTATACAATTTAAATATTCGACAAAGTGAAGGAAGAGCCAGTTCTTCATCTTAGGTTTAAATTCCAAGTTAACTTAGAATAGACCTATAGTATGATTATTCAGGAAAGTTTCCATTTTTGGTAAGTGTCATGGGGGTAAATGCGAATTGCCAATACCAAATTCCTTTATCAAGCAGTTCCTTTATCAAGCAGTTTATGTAATGTGATTTACATGCAAACACGATGTAGTTTGGGGCTTTATCTGAAACAACAGTAACTGTTTTAATTCATAAATACAACTGGGTCATTATGGATGATAAAATGTGCTGATAAAACCGCTTCTGACAAATGCAGCAAAAACGTGCTACAACCCGAAAAGACACGTTAAACCAGTGTACAATCAATTCCCCCATCTATACTTGGTTACTGAAAATTTTGCTACTTTGAAAATGAATATACCCCTGTGACTGATTTGGCTTGAGTTTTTCAAACTTTAAAACGACGGGGTTTTGTATATACTTTAATACTGTACTGTGCCATCTGTCTATCTTTTAGCTGATTCTTGGTTGATAAATTAATAATTGTTGTATTAATCACACCATTCCATAACTATTTGCTCTAATTTTTTAAACAAAGAAACATTCATTAGGGTTAAAGGGACTAGAATGGTAAATTTTCTAAAGCAGCTACCTTTCCCAAGATCAACACAAAACGGAGACTCTATGTTAACGACGCTCCACATATTGGCTTAGGACAGCAAGACTGTTTAAGACAAGATTATTTGAAAAAATGCATTGTTTCTACGAATTATTAGTATGTGGCTCCAGTAAACGATCAGCCGAAAATAAGAGAGTTTTGAAGAGGGTCTCCCAATAATTATTTTCACTTGTTTAAACAACGCACTTAATTGAAACAATTCAGAATATATTTTACTCCTCATACTTCAATAACCTTTCCCCATACATAACACGAAGAACATTACAATGGAACTTTTCAATTCTGACATAACAACTGTTGCATTTAATTGTTACAGAGAAAAGGGATTACACAGAGAGTAATATGGACAAAGACTGTTGTTGAAAGTTTCGCACTGCAATGATCTCTGCTCGGATGGTAAGTAATTTTACATAAAATTGAGAATGGAAATGGGGAATGTGTCAAAGAGACAACAACCCGACCAAAGAGCAGAAAACAGCCGAAGGCCACCAATGGGTCTTCAACACAGCGAGAAAATCCCGCACCCTGAGGCGTGCTTCAGCTGGCCCCTAAATAAAAATGTGTACTAGTTCAGTAAAAATGGACGTCACACTAAACTCCAAAACATAAAATTGAACTAAAATTAAAAAAAACATACAAGACTAACAAAGGCCAGAGGCTCCTGACTTGGGACAGGCGCAAACATGCAGCGGGGTTAAACATGTTTGTGAGATCTCAACCCTCCCCCTATACCTCTAGCCAATGTAGAATAAACAATCACACAGCAATACGCACAGTAAAACTCAGTTTTAAAGAAATCCGAGTCCGATGCCAGAATAGGTAACAAAAGAAACTAAGCAAAATGACAATGATACATAAATTAACAAAGGACTACTAGCAGTTACTGACATGCCAGATCCAGATCTCAATTAAACTGATTGAAAGATTATGTCTTCATCATATGAAAATCTAACACAATTCCTCCCGTTATTGGTTTAGTATCATACCATCATAAAATATATGAGAAATACATAACCCGTATCATGCCAACAACTGGTTTAAGAATAAATGTGTTTATTTCCGATGCAAAGACCATATGAGTGAATCAATATTAATACCAAAATATGCCATCTTCAATGACCTGACAACAGCATCGTAACTATATCCCTTCTGAATAAGTCTGTCTAAAGGTTTGGTTAGCTTTTGAGGTGAGTGTCGACATTTTTGTGCTTTGTATAGAATATTACCATAAAAGATTGGATGTGAAATACCTGAACGTATAAGATGTATGAACGTTGATTTATATTTACGAATGATGTCCTTGTACCGATGATAAAATTTAGTAATGTTTTGACTAGTTTGTGATATCGAAAACCCTGGTGTAATAATTTTTCAGTAATACAGAGATTTCTTTCGTTAAAATCAAATATGTTGTTACATACACGAGCGAATCGAACAAGTTGAGATATATAAACACTATAAGATGGTGACAAGGGAACGTTACCATCTAAAAATGGATAATTAACAATAGGAAATGAAAAATTATCTCTTTGATCATAAATTTTGGTATTAAGCTTCCCGTTAAAGATATAGATATCAAGATCCAGGAAAGGACAGTGTTCGTTGTTAATATTAGCTTTATTTAAAGTCAGTTCAGCAGGATACATCTCTTTAGTGTACATACTGAAGTCGTCATTATTGAGAGCCAATATATCATCCAAATATCTAAAAGTGTTATTAAACTTTTGTATTAGATGTTGTTTCGATGGGTCTTTGCTGATTTTAGTCATAAATTGTAACTCATAACAATACAGAAACAGGTCGGCAATAAGTGGTGCACAGTTAGTCCCCATAGGAATTCCGAAAACTTGACGATATACGGAATCTCCATAGCGAATAAAAATGTTATCTAGTAAAAATTCAAGAGCAGGCCAAATTGACATAGTTCTTTTGTTTGTTGTTACTAAAAAATGACCTAAAAGAGTTTGAACATATATATTCGCATTCTGACTTTTTAAATGCCCATTTAATTAGGTGTGTGAATTTTTTCTTAATAAGATTATGAGGCAAAGTGGAATAAAGGGTAAAAAAATCAAAACTTTGAACAGATTCGAAATCACCAATATAAGCATGCAATTTATCAAGTACTTCCAACGAATTTTTGACATTTCAAAAGTAATTAATTCCACTATTTTCAGAGGCCTCGTTTGAACAATTTATTACCAGGTTTTTGATTGTGCCAAAATTACTAGTAAGTAGGACAGACAGTTTAGTAGTGGAACAATGGCTTGAAGACGTAATAAATCTATATTTGTAAGGGGTTTTGTGCAGCTTCGGAAGCCAGTACATAGTTAGAACTTTCATTTTATTTGGTTCTGCTTGTAAAGAGGTAACTAAAAGTTTATGTTTGTTACAGATGTCATTTTCCTAAAATGGAGTCAGTTGGAATGTTGGTGAATTGGTGATTTCCTTTTGCAGAACCTCAATGTAAAATTTACGTCAAACAATAATGATATTATTAGCAGCCTTATCAGCCGGGACAAAAACAAATTCCTTGCCGAGTTCTTTTAGCTTATGTTTGATACGAGAAATAGGGCTATTATGGTTGTTGTAAGGATTAAAATGTTCTTTAAAATGTTTATCTTACAACAATAGGAAATGGTCCAATTGACATAGTTCTTTTGTTTGTTGTTACTAAAAGATGACCTAAAAGAGTTTAAACATTCTGACTTTTTAAATGCCCAAGCTTTAAATATTCCTTTTATTTTAGTTTCAGAGTGTCTGCTTGTTGATGATTTTCTTCAATCGATGGACCTTTACATCAGCGCTTGATCCATATACCAAACAGGCCCGATTATGCGATGGTGTTGTTATCTGGCCCGCTAGGCCATTGCTACCGACCAGAAGTATTGATCATGGTGAGAGGTTTCCAAGGTGTGTTAATTTCGTCAGTTATACATCTGTTTTAAAAATTTAAATCACAAAGGTTGGAAAGGGTCAAGACCTTGTCTTTATTTTTCGATTAAAATAAAGTAATATCAGAAGCGGATCCATAATTTTGAAAAAGGGAGGGCTCGGGGCCCCCAAACTAGGCAACGTTTGGAGTTGGACATCTAAAAAGTCTATGCATTAAACATATAATATGTAGCACCATAAGAGGACCGACTCCCTTTAAATCCGCCTCTGAATTTTAAAGTCTGTTTTAAACATAAGAAACCAATTTAAACGTCACACGCTTGATCTTGAGGATATCTAAATTACAGTTTATTAATTTCATGTTTGTCCAGCAACCAAAATGACCGCCATGACTAAACAAATAAAAAGATAAAATGCAAGTAATTGTATAATATCTTGACAACCAGAAGATGTTAAGAAAATTTTACATGGGGGATGTTCAAAATGTCAAGATCAATAAATGATCTAGATGACTACTGACTGGAGGGTAATTTGATTTGGGGGAGCATTGAAGTTTATGTAAACGTATTTTTCTTCCTGATTTTTAGGTTATCAATATGGCATATTTCTACCAGATGAGCGATGCATACTCCTTAAAGCCTCTTATTGTATTTTGTATTCACAGAGAAAAGGCAGTCCATGACTTTGTAGAAGATCTTGAAGTTCTGGTGAGAGAATCTAGAACAGGTATACCTGTCGGTAGTGCGCATACACGCCGTAAAAGAAGTGCCAATGACGTGGTGGATAAAGTGTGTAATGATAATAAAGGAACGTAAGGGCATAATTATTATGTTTGCCTATTGCACCTATATATCTAGCAAATGAATAATCTCGATAGTAAACCATCTATCACCATCTTGATTATTTCATTTATTTTTTCTTTCTTGTTATGATAATGTTATCTAGATCTATTATTTCAAACCCAAAAAATCTTCAATCGCACCAAGTGAATGTAACCAGCCCAAGCAGTCTATAGGATCTACGAAGGCATGGTAGTAGTATAGTATATGTTCTGATTATTTTTCAAGTAGTGTCTATTCCCCTAACTTGACTTACAAAGGCCATTGAGTTTTTTTTCTCTAAAGGTTAAAGATGTTGACTTGAGGTTTTGGTATTCTGCCGTATTTGAGAAGTTACTGGTCAAGTTAAAGATCCTAGCTTTCCAACTTTTCACGCAATTAGCCCTTTGAAGTCTCATGATTGTATTTTGGGGACTTTTTTGGCTATGAATAATATATTTTTCTGGCTATGAATAATATATTTTTCTATAATATTGGAAAAATCATCTTATAAAAATTAACACATCGTTTTAATGGTCTTTGTTTGGGATGATCTTTTTTCATGAAATCATGCTCCTTTGAATTAATAATCGAATAAACCAACTGTGTTCAGCATTTTCGAAATGGATAGAGATGTTGTCCTGGTGTTAAGGAATGCAGTCATCTAAAGAGTTTAGGATAAGTTGAGATTGTGCTCTTTGGATTCAGAAAAATTTAAGAGATCTCAATCTAATTAAAATATAGTTCTCTGATTTCGTTATACTCATATGTACGAGCACGCGAGTTAATATAGGTCTGAATTTCAATCAGATTGAAGAGATCTGATCCACGGATTGTATCAAACAGGTATCGCTATCATTTATAATATTATTAGTTACATGGTGTGTTAGTGACCTAATACGATATATATGGGGTCAGTAAATTCCATATGGGATGAGAGCGAAGCTCGAATCCCCATATGGAATTTACTGACCCCATATATATCGTATTAGGTCACTAGCACACCGTGTAACGAATTTATCTTACCGACTATCTTCACATGTGGTATTTTGACTAGCGACCTATCAAAGTGATTTCAAAGTCTTCAATACTTAGTATTAAGATCCTACTTCCATATGTTTATACAGAAAAGAAATGCCCACAATAACAACTTTTTAGCTTTAAATTTGTTTTATGAATTTATTTCAATCGTTCATTACATGTATCAATTTCTTCGCCGGTCTGTTGAAACCTTTCAGATTTCTTTTTTGTTTTGAAAGGGAAGTAACTCCTTAATGCCAACAATAACAACTTGTTAGCTTAAATTATGTTTTATGCATTTATTTCAATCTTTCATCATCAATTTCTTCGTCTGTTGAAACCTTTCAAATTTTTCCTCAACATCGTGTTGTTAATGTTTTTATAAAGGGTCGTGCCATATTTTTTGTTTTGAAAGGGAAGTAACTCCTTACTAACCCCATATGGTAACTAACAATGCAAGGTAACTACACTGTAACCCTATATTTTTTAGGACACCCTATATCAAATATACATAGTCACCACGTGTAGTCCTTTAACCAATCATATCCCTATAAATCTATCAATCTAATTAAAATATAGAACTCGGATTTCGTTAAACTACATACGTATGTAGTTAAACGAAATCCGAGTTCTATATTTTAATTAGATTGTAAATCTATAGGAGGTAAGATAAATTTACATACATAGTCACATTGAAAGCAAAGTTACATAATTCAAGGTTCGCACTGGTTGATTTTCTTATTTATGGGGACACATTGTATTACTTTAGAACTATTCTTAGAGTGCTTGTTGCATATATTTTCAGAGGTAACCCATGGGATGAAGATTTACCTAGTACTGCATACCGGATGTTAAGAGGATTTATGTAAGTTGCAGTTTCTCGTACTAGCCACTTTTTACTTGTCTGGAAATGAAAAACTTCAGACACTAGTAGTACTGGTTTTTGCTTATTTTTTTTCCTTCGAAGCGCTCAACCATAAACGCTCATGGCGGAAAGAAATAGAAAGAAAATTTCTTAAGAGAAAAATATATTTAAAACACAGACAGATATGAAATGAAAGTTTTATGTATTATCGTTAACGAATATCAGTTACGTTATTTATTTTTATTAATGAAATGCACGTGTCGATAATGATACGTTTAACAGAATATGTCCCCTTTTCTCTTGCATATTACAATGCTACCGAATATTTACCTGCCACTAGCATGACGACGGACATCAGTAGTGGTCGAGCAGTCACTGCTTACCATTCGTAGGCATCTGGGTTTAACAGGAATTAAACAAGATTCGTGTTGCTCATTTTGTAGTTGTCTACGTAATGTTTGTGAACTTAATTTATTTCATCAAATTCAACTTTGCTGGAGGATTTGGAAATTTAGTTATTATGAAATAATTCCTTCGATTTTTCTCTCTCAAATCGTTTCTTCGTTCAAAAACGGTCACTGTCATGACTTCTGGGCGGGTGATACCACCGGGACTAGCAGTTAATTCTCGTTATGAATAAAAAAAAAAAAAAACTACCAAACAATCTACAGCGGAGGACGTTTCACTAAATGGATATGAATTTTTTTGCGAAATAAATCGGACGATTTACCTCGAAAGTATGATTCATTTCAGAGGCAGAAAGTTAACCCGTTTGTTTTTACTAACCACAACAAAAAATGGTCGGCGGGGGACATTTTATAGACTCGGTAGGACATTTTAGGAGGTCGGACGTTTTGGAGCCAAGTATATGATCCATTTTTATTAATGAAAAACATGAAATGGCGGACACTTAGCATTGTGCAGGCTATCTTTTGTATAAGATTATGAAAGCTATTCTGCAAAAGCAAAGGTCACTATACTTTACAAGGCTTGTAATAAATAGAACTGTAAGTGAAAAAACAAATAATGAACACAAAACCATAAAACACTCCATGATGACAAAAACGCACCAACTTATCTAAAAAAAATCGTGGCGATTTTGGCTCTACTCGTTTTGGAAAAAATGTCCAAAAGTAGCCAAAAAATGGTAATTTAATGTTTCTGATGATTTATTTTCATCAGTTTTTGATTAGGTTTTTTCCTTGGTGTATTAGTTTTTGTATCAAAATTCCTATATATGTGGTTAATCTTTTGTATAAGATTATGAAAGCTATTCTGCAAAAGCAAAGGTCACTATACTTTACAAGGCTTGTAATAAATAGAACTGTAAGTGAAAAAACAAATAATGAACACAAAACCATAAAACACTCCATGATGACAAAAACGCACCAACTCATCTAATCCAAAATCGTGGCGATTTTGGCTCTACTCGTTTTGGAAAAAATGTCCAAAAGTAGCCAAAAAATGGTAATTTAATGTTTCTGATGATTTATTTTCATCAGTTTTTGATTAGGTTTTTTCCTTGGTGTATTAGTTTTTGTATCAAAATTCCTATATATGTGGTTAATCGACATATAAGACGTGACATTTTTGGTTACCAGAATCCAAATGGCCTAGATGTGGTCAACTTTTTAAAACAAGAAAGTGAACCTTGTTTAGTTTGATTATTTTCTTTGAATTCTTGCAATCCATGTCCATGTTAACTGTTACGGTGTCACCTGCTATAATTAACGTTGTCAAACGCTTTGGAAATCACACTTTGACATGGTTTGCCAAATTTAAAAAAACTGTTTTGTTTGGTTTCTCTTTACGACGAGTCCAGCAAATAACTTTTTCCAATAAAATGCTGTCTTACGAACATTACGGGTTTACACTGTATGTCGTATCATGTATAGTAGCCCTTATGTATGTGCTGTGGGTTCAGATTTGATACGTTCTCGTGTTGACTGCAATGGAAAATATACTTTGAGCTTAAGAATATTTAGCAGGTTTTTCAGATCCCTCTACTATTATCATAAACCAAACCCAATTTGTGCGCTCGTCATAATATTGAACTCTACTTTATTTAGGGGTTTATGTAACGACCGGGATCAAACTAAAAAAGAAACTGTCATTCAAGAACAAGAGAGCAGAAAAAATACCCCATCACACGGTGTTGCTGATGTTACTCCGGTGAAGAAAAAGAAGAAGAAAACGAAGAAGAAAAAGAAGAAGAAAAAGAAGAAACGGAAAATACAAGAAAACGTGGAAACTTTTCAGCCAGCCGAGGTCCTAACAAAATTGAAAGACAAACCATTTGATAAACCAAAAGCAAAAGTTTGGGATTTTGTAGAACCAGACAATACTGCTAAAATGGCACCATCAGATGACACTCATCCAGACGTAAAAATTGTTAAGTGGAATGGAGGGAATTTTGTCGATCCACATTCATCCAAAGTAGTATCGTTTGGAAGACGCAAGCGCAGTACAGACCAGATTTTCACACTACGAAATGTTGACCACACAGCCTCTGGACATTCTGCATGTTTGCCTCAGTATGATTTATTCTGGTTCAAGGACATTGTTGAGTACATGGGAGACACGTGTTGGGTGCTTGGAAAGTTTTCTCGCAAGTTTTACTACTCTTCACATTGCATGTAAGTGGATTTTCATATTTCTCGGATTTGACCCGAATAAACTTTCAATTACAAAAATTTCCCTGTAGATAAGAACGCCATGGAATATTGGGTATGTGTAAATGCACACCTTATTACCGTCTATGGGCACGACAGATGCAACAGATACACAGGCATATATGTACCACAAATCAAAATCTCCTGTAAACGATTCATTGTATTGCAATGGTAATAGGAAACTCGATAGAGAATACAAACTTCACGATAGTCAACACAATTGTTTTTAATAGCAATCGGGAACACATATCATACTGTGTCTGCCGTATCGATAGTCGGTGTTAATTAGAATTACTCGCTGTCAGTGTAAATTCCAAATTTTATGGCAAACGGGGCATTTTTTCCTGTTTTTAAATTTCCTTTCCTTTATGGTGATGAATATATAAAACTAAGAAGATTTGGTATGATTGCCAATGAGACAACTTTCTACCAAATATCAAATGACGTAGAAGTTGGCAACTATAGGTCACTGTACGGCCTTCAACAATGAGAAAAACAAATACCGTATAATTTCTTGTGCAAATATGATACAATTACATGAATTTGATGAAAGTCACTGCTGATATTTCAAGGTCATGAAGCTTTTTATGGTCACATTATTTATGAGCAATACAAGCTGAATGAACCTCTAGCTAGATAATTGATATTGTTTCCTTCTTTTCAGGCCTGGTGTGTGTCACGCTTCAATTCCATTACTTGGTAAACAGTCCCATTGTTATCCTGGAAAACATTCTACACACGTTATATGGTTTTATTGTCCAAATTTAGAGCCTGGTGAAAGGTATCGAAAAATGGCGTTCAATTTAGCTCACAATTGTGAATGCAGGACTTGTTGATTCGTATAACTTTGTACATTATTAATAAAACATTATTCATGTGTGGTTGAAATGAATTAAAATGCGGTTTTATTTTCCTTTTTTTCGAGATTTTCTACGGTACCTATATTTTAAGGCAAATCTTTTGAGGCCGAGTATTTTTAAGTCCCACGTGTACCTTCTATGTACTTATCTATTGTATATTATTGTAGATAATTCTGTTCTGAATGCACAATAAATCATTCTTCACATCATAGAAGAAGATGTTGTATTTCTATTAAATGGGCTTCAAGGAGCATAGTACAATATCATACATTATTTTAGACAAAAAACAAAAAGTTACAAAGTCTTCCATGAAAAATGCGACAGAAATTTCTATACTTGGTAATTATGTGTTAGCAGAGACATATATGCGTCTCTGGTGTTAGCTAGATTATGTAAGTACAATAAACATGAATTGAAGTTGATGATGGATGAATCTGGAACCTTTTCATCTGAGACTGCTGTAACATATTGTAGTCTCAGGTAACACACGGTATAGCTTGTTCACATGAAGCCAGATAACTAATTTCAGAAAGCTCCTATATATTTGTAGTTTCCTAGAAAATTGCGACGCAAACTTTAAGGAAAATATAAGTATTTGGTAAACAGAAAGTTGAAGAGCGATGGACGGACGGACCTCATACGGATATAATTAAAAGGAAACCCCGACAAAGGGCATAAAAATGCACGAAAAAAACTTTTAAACTATGAACAATTTTGGGAAAAATAAGTATTACTAGAAATTGTTATAAAACTAGTGGTAGGTAAAAGCACAAGAGTACACAGACTGAAATGTCTCGCCTGCTCTACTTATTATTATTGAATTTATTTTGAAAGTCTGCAATATGAAGTTTTTACTTCAAGTGTCACATAAACTCAACATCGTCAATCATCCATGTAAATGAGGTCAAGGTCAGAGGAACCCTGCCAGACAGATATGAACACCTTACGATCATACCAAACACCAAATATAATTAGTCTATTGATTATAGTAGTTGAGAAACGGACCTTATTACGAAAATTTGTACATTGACCACTGAACCATAAAAATGAAGTCAAGGTCAGATGAACCCTGCCAGACAACATGTATACCATGCAGCAATCATTCCATTACCAAATATAATTGGACTTTTGCTGATAGTATCTGACTAACAATAAAAACTTCACATTGGCGAATGAGCCATGAAAATGATGTTAAGCGGTCAGATGAAAACTGCCAGACAGACATATACACCTTACAATCATTTCAAACATTAAATATAGTGGCCCTATTGCTTATACTATCTGAGATATAGACCAACCGGAAAAACTGAACATTTTCAAATGAACCATGAACAAAAGGTCAAGGTCCGATGAAACCTGCCAGATGGACATGAACACATTACAATCATTCCATAACACCAAATACTGCTGACATATTACTTATAGTATCTTAGAAACTGACCAAACCATAAAAACATAACATTGGTCAATGAACCATGAAAATAAGGTCAAGGTCAAATGAAACCTGCCAGTCCGACATGTACACCTTACAATCATTATATACACCAAATATAATTGACCTCATGCTTGTAGTACCTAAGATACAGCTTTGACCACAAAAAAATTAACCTTGTTCACTGATCCATCAAATGAGGTTGAGGTCAGTTGAACCCTGTCTGACTGACAGGAGGACGTGTTTTTCAACAAACAATCAGCATTCCCATGGGAACCAGCTGTGATCCTCTTCTTGCCGACTTGTTCCTTTATTCATATGATGCTGACTTCATACAGGAGCTTCTTATGAAGAATGAAAAGAAGTTAGCATATCCTTTAACTTCACATTCTGCTATACAGAAGGTGCCCTCTCATTAAATATATCGAAGTTTGGTGACTATGTTGAAAGCCACTGTCCCATCGAACTTGAAATAAAGGATACAAAAGATATAGTAAAGTCTGCCTCATATCTTGACTTACATCTACAAATTGACTATGAGAGTCGGTTGAGAACAAAACTATATTAACAAAAGAGATGATTTCAGCTTCCCCATTTCTATGTAGCAACATTCCAGCAGCGCTTGCACATAGAGTATATATATCTCAGTTGATACAATATTCCAGAAGTTGCATTCACTATCATGATTTCCTTGATAGACGGTTGCCGATTTCAAGGAAGATATTGGACCAAGAGTTGAAATTTGAAATCGTCCTTTCAAAAAACTTAATGGACGTCATCATGAGTTGGTTGTCTACTTGACCGTTATTGAATATCTGTTTACAGATGACATCAGGTATGTTCCAATGGTCGTAACCACAATCCCGTCAACTTTTTCTCGAATTTGACCTACCGAATTAGACTTATCACCGGGTTTGTACCAACATGAGCAACACGACGGATGCCACATGTAGAGCAGGATCTACTTACCCTTCCGGGGCACCTGAGATCACCCCGGGTTTTGGTGGGGTTCCTGCTGCTCAGTTTTTAGTTTTCTATCATGTTTATGTTGTGTTTTGTGTATTATTGGTGTTTTTTACATGACAGTGTTAGTTTGTTTTCGACTTCTGCGTTTGAACATCCCTTTGGTATCTTTCGCCTCTCTTGTAGACCCTGCAAGGATCTCATATACCTATAAACGAGGGTTTACACTGCCTCCGCCATACTTTGTTTGTGTAATCATTTCCATCTTTGTCTACAATACTAACAGAATCACAGAGTGATAAATAGAGAATTACCACCCTATACAACCCTTTACTTATATACCGATGTTACAGACACTCATTAATAATGCAGTGAAAGATGCAAAAGTGATACCACAAAAATAAGAACAAATATAATCTGAAAATAAGTTTGAAAAACACTATGAAATGATCACCCAAGTTTGATACTATTGACAAGTTCATACATCCAACTTAAGTTTATGTAATTGTTAATTCGTAAAATTTTCCATATAGCTTTTTATTTCAATCTTAAATTACTATTTTTTCACCAATTATATTGTCTGATTAGAATTGGACGGTATATAAGGGACCACCAAGCTTCTGATATCCAAATATGAAATAATTTTAAAGATACTATTTTCCCTTATACATCAATTTGAAAGTGCCTTGGCGTTATAAATTGAAAAAAAAAAACTATTTCTCATTCTTAGAGAAAATATCAACTAAACTTTATACATGTAACTTCATGTAACAATGCTAAACTTGTTTTTCATACCATAGTTGTATTACTAAAACTACTCTGCTGTCTTTCTCAAAACTTTCAATGATGTTCTTTCCTGAATCTGGTAAAACATGTTTTAACATTAAAAGAAAGTAGCTAAAAATGTAAATATCATTATCAATTTGAATTTTTTTATACCAGACATCTTTCACACATGATTAAAAGGAGAATTTTAGGAAATGACTTAATGTATATGTCGATGAGAACTCAGATAGCATCCCAACATCACAGATAACCAAAGGCCATCATGCAGTCTTCAACTATAGACATCTATTTTCCATTGTAAACATGGTCTATATTTGGTGGATTTTATAGGGGTAATCATCAAACTGCTCACCAGTCTGATTTTTTTAAAAAGGGACATATTCGTGTTAGGGAATGACAATTTAACTTCAAGGAGGTGGGGGGTTATGTTTTTTATCCTAAAAAAATATTCTGATCCCCAATTTGATGAAAAAAAATATCGTGGTCAAGCAGATGACAAAAAAAATATTCTGAATCCAGATTTTCCCCCATACCTTATAGTGTTGAATTTTGAAAAAAAATAATTTGATTGATAGTGTGGAAAAACTAAAAAAAAAAATTCTGACTCAGACAAAAAACCATAATCCCCCCCTTGAAGTTAAATGGTTGCTCCCTTATATCCACTGGTAAATTTCTTGTGTTATTTCAAATAGTCATTTTTTTTATTTTTATTAGCTTGATAGATTATACATCTGGTTAATAAGGACAAAACTATCTATAAATGTCCCATAAACTAATATGATGATCCTTGGATCCACATGCCAATATATTATCAGATGAAAAAGTCACACACTGAACACTTTCTTTATGGTATGAAAGGACGGCTAAAGGTTTTAACTTTTTCACAGAATATATTCTGACATTAGAATCCCATCCACCTGAGGCAAATATCTTTTGGTCATGTCTTATTGAAATACTAGTAAATCCTGGATTTTTGGCTGTAATTTCTTTCCTTTTTATTATAGTGCTATTCTCACTAATTGACCATGATTTCAGGCTTTCATCAGGTGATCCTGATATTCCAAAGTTTGATTGTGATGAGTAATCAAGGCACATGACAGATTCTTTGTGTATTTGTGCCTTATCAGCCATCTTCAAAGTCTTGGCATCCCATGATGCAATGCACCCATTTTCATATCCAATTAAAATTTTGCTTTCAACAGATTTTACGGTCATACACATTCCATATTTTTGCTCTGAAACATCTGGTTTCAGTTCTCCTATACATTGCATTGTACCCATGTCATATAACTGTATTGTAGAGGTGCTATCAGTTGGTATAGCAATTTTATTGTCTACTATGGAACAGGCACAGTATCCAAAACTAGTGGATTTTATTACATCTGTAATCAAAAGAAATTAACGTAAAATAGTGTTTTCTAATTAGAAATAAATAATAAATGACAAATTTGCCTAAGTTAATTCACATACTAATTCTAAATAAAAGTCACAAAAAAGGATATTATATACTTAAGCTGTTTCTATTTCTTCAATAATTATCTATCTTTTCTTTTTATGAATGTTAAAAAAAAAATAAGCAAGACAAAAATCTAAATTCTAAGAAGAACTGGCAATTTAATTTTTGCAGTAATATTTTACTAAACATTTAAGGAAATAACATTTGATTAATTGTGTATTATAGTCAGTCGTTCAAATTTTCCAATAATAACTGCAGGCATTAAATTTCAAATCAAATTACCTGATTTTGTCCATGCATCATCGGTTTTATTCCAGAACTGTACATTGCCATCTCTACCCTGTGTAACCATTAAACAATCATTTATAAACTCTATCCATAAAACAGAATGTCCAAAATGACCAATTGTCTTATTTACTGGACGTTTTGTTTCCATGTCCCAGATGTAAATATTCCCACTCTGATCACCAGAGTATAGAACATTGTTAGACCAATATTTCAAACATGTCACAGCACTCTCACATCCCCGTAATATGTAGACTGGATCTGGTCCATGTGCCATTATATTATCCAAACTATAAAATTAAACAATATTTGTCAGTCACACATAATCATGATAATACTTCTGGCAAAAAATCACAGCAACTAGAAAACTTACCATGTCAGAAAGGGCTGTGCTTGCGGGTTTTTATTTGAGGCAAAGAAACAAATAATTAACTATGTGGAACTATTTTAATGGACTAAAACTAATGGGAGGTGTTTCATTTCTGTATTCTTTAATTATTTAGGTCATTTTGAATAATTTCCTTATTTTTTTTTATTTTAGCACCCCTTTATTCTCCATTTCTTCATTTTGTATTTTTTTGCCCTATATTTCTCTTTTCTTTATTTTTTGATCCCTTTATTCTGCACATTTTGCCCATTATTGTCTTTTCTGTAAACCCCATCCAGACCCTCATTACAAACAAAACAAAAAAATATATCAAGGACAAAAGGGATAGGTGCATTTAAGGCCCAGATTTGGCCCAAGAAAATAAAGTTTTTGAGAACTATTTCAAATTTGCACATAATATTTGAAAATGCTTAAAATCAAGAAATATAAATGAATTACATAAGATTTTGATGTTATGTCAGACGTCAAAACTAGGATCGTCATAATATGCACCATTTTCATGAAAACAAAGAAAACTGTTAACTTTATGCAGTTTTCCATCAATCTTTCCTTTGTGGAAACATTGTGTGCAGTCAAGAAACAACAAAATAATTTAAGAAGAGCTTTATTATAACCATTGACCTATTATAACCAAATGTAAAGTTGTTTCTTGGGTGCACACATACATTTCCAATCTAAAATATACTTAAAAGTTGAAAAGTTAAAACAAGGAAAATCAAGAAATTTACAAAATATACACATTTTGTTCTGACATAGTTTGTTGCCATGGTAACTCATTAAATGTGAAATTTGTTTAAATTTCTTAACACCTTGTACCTCAATGTAGATTTGACAAAGTAGAGAATATGTATGGTAACTTTTCAATGTGCACTATTATCTGAGCCAAATAAGGGCCGTATTGCCCCTTCTCTTTTATGGTCATTTAAAGTCATAAAAAATTATACAGTATTAGGGGAGAGAATATTGTAACATAAAATAATGTCCCAATGAAATATTGTCTGCTGGACAAAGTTTCATAGAAAATATTGTCGGCTGACAATTTATATTTCATACTGAAATACTTCTCTACAGGGCTGTCAAGTTTTCATGAAGCAAATGCATGAGATTTAGCAAAATTTGTAAAGATGAAAGAGAAAAAAACAAAATGTAAGATGTTTCTATTCTCAAATGACAGAAATGTAAAAAAAAAAAATAAAAAAAATTAATTTAGTAAATGTCTTCAACCTCGACCCTACTAATCTCTACAAGCACATGATATATTAGGTATATTTTTTCATAACACATTTAAGTTTACATGGTTTATCAGGTAAAAATAGCTTGTATGCAAATTTTAGTCAATCACTGGGGATTAAAACTATCATTTGCCATAAAGTCTTGTGGAAGTTGAGAATTTAACATATATATATATAGGTATTTAGTGTGGGGTTCTGAACAGTTTTTGATACATATTATTATAATAGATCCATGTTTTACTGGCTTGGCTAATAATAATTAATAAATATATTTCTGTTCTTATTTTCTATTCTATAAACTACATTTATTTAATACATTTACACTACAGATCTACAACTCTGAGTTTTGGCTACACGTGCTGATCTTATCTATAAAGTCATGCATATTCAATAGCTATGTAGGCATGTCAAAATCGTATCATATGTGAAAATGACCAGCCAGCACACTGTGACTGTTGTGATTTCATCAACCAGTATTTAAAAGATAAATATAACACATAATTATAACAATCATATAAACTGAGACTACTCACAGGAGTTTGAAATCTTAGCAATAACGGTGTATAAATATGCCAAACTCGACTATCACAGTAGAGCTTCTCTCGAACGATCATTTAAGGGAGATGTGTCACGGAATAGAAGTTCCTTCATAATATAAGTTCCAAATGGAAACAATATTCTGGAAAATTATTTCCACTGGAATAAATATTACAGTAAATGTAACGGAATAAATGGTATAGAATATTTGTTCCAATAGGAACAGATATTATGACATTATAAATAACAAAGTTTCCAGTGGAACTTCTGTTAGGCGGAACAAATATATGTTGACAGATGGACATGCAAATAAATTGCTGATGCAAAAAAAAAATCATTCAGGAGAAAATAAAAATTGATAATTGATAAGTCAAATGTAAAAAAGCTTAGTTATGTTAGTGGAACTTTTCTTATAATTACGACTACCGAAAAAACTTTAAATCTTTACTACATTTCACAGGCACTTGTTTCTATCTATGGGAAGAACCACTATCAACTAAATATACGTTGATAGTGGTTCTTCCCATCAAGGACGTATATTAGAGGTTATACGTCCTTGTTCCCATGGATAGAAACAATTAAGTGCCTGTGCTACATTTGAATAAATTTCTCAACTGGTAAAATCTGACATTTCTGAGGATGCCTAAAATAAATAGACGCAGCAGCATGTGTTTTTTTTTAAAGAGTGCTAAGTGATTTAGCTAATAATTAAAAATACTTACGTATCAAGTTATATTTACTGTCTACTTAAAAAAAAAATCAACTTTCACTTTATCCATGTGTTCTACTTTCCTTTTCAAAGGAAATTTTAACATCTGTCTAAATAGACATCATTTACGGACAAGACACGGTTTTCATTTACCGGATCATCAACTCTTTAAACTTGAAACAAGTTGCTTTTTAAAAAAAAAGACAATACGTGAACCTTAGAACTTTTTTATTCTAATTATTAATTCAACTGAATAAGAAATTATATATCAGTGTTATCTTGGCCATGTGTGTGGAGGATAATATTTTCTTTTTATTGTTACGATATCATTACAATTTTGGCATGTTGAGAGAAGTGTTAAATATAAAGCTAGGAGAGAAAAATAAAAGATTCCCAGACGTATAATTTCTTAAAGAATAATAATAATTCAAAACACGGAGGACACATGTACCTTCTTCCAAAAATTCATAAAATTAATCTAGAAATAAGTAATGAGGCATTGCGAACTGGTCAGCTAGCAGGACACATTAATGTTCGTTACCGACCAATCATCAATAAGTGTAACTCTCCCGCGAGAGATACTTACTTGATCTAATTATAAATATAAAAAAGAAGATGTGGTATGATTGCCAATGAGACAACTCTCCACAAGAGAACAAATGACACAGAAATTAACAACTATAGGTCACCGTATGGCCTTCAACAATGAGCAAAGCCAATACCGCATAGTCATATAAAAGGCCCCGAAATGACAAATGTAAAACTATTCAAACGAGAAAATTAACGGCCTAATTTATGTACAAAAAATGAACGAAAAACAAATATGTAACACATCAACAAACGACAACCACTGAATTACAGGCTCCTGACTTGGGATAGGCACAGAATGTTGCGGGGTTAAACATGTTAGCGGGATCCCAACCCTCCCCCTAACCTGGGACAGTGGTGTAACAGTACAACATAAGAACGAACTATAAAAATCTGTTGAAAAAGGCTTAACTCATCAGATGGATACAAACAGAAATACTACACAGAGTGGAAGTGGCCGGGTACTTGTATATCCCAACAACAAATAGACACTAAGTACTCGCAGTTACTGACAGCTAGTTCAAAGCTACTAACAACTAATTAAAAAAATCATGCATCCAAGACTAAATTATCAATTAGTACACATCCAACATCCAATTATTGAAGAGGCATAACTTTTACATTCAAGATACAAAAAAAATCATAATTAAAATAGAGTCACGAGGTAAAAAAAGTATGCATTCTTATTGCCTATGATGTACGTCAATGTACACAAATGTGATGATTGATAATTTAGAAAAAAATGTTATCAAGTTGCAGTTCCGAATGGACGTTGCATAGCAGCACGAAGATTTTGCACAGATCACAGATCCAAATACGGAGAGTTTCTAAGTCTTTATTTGCACTTGCATCCTCACAATTTAATATTATAGGTCACTATACCTTGTTTTAACTAATAACTTCAGGCATTTTTGTAAATTGCACGGTGTTTCCAGCTAACTTTTCTTGCAGGCCTTGCCGGACGGCCATTTAATTTCCAGCGCCATATTTGAATTTTGACAAATAAAATTTTATTTTTTCAGACAGTAAGTCTAAGTCTTTTTGTGACTTATAAATAATTAAAATAAATAATTCAGACATCTTTATAATCATTTCGAACAGTTAAATAATTTTTTTCCATTCTAGTTAAGTTTAAATTTTTGACCACATAGTCTGTAGTCTAGACCCCCCCTCTCTTATTTTATTTTCTTGCTAGATCTATTTATTGCATATATATATAGTTTAATCAAACCTTTAAACACACTGTACTTGTGTTTCAACCAATATCCTGTGTTTGAAAGATAAAAGAAAATTTAGTTCTCTGTTCCCACAAAGACTGATATATGTCTGAGACTAAAGTTGTAATGTCAAGCAGATACTTCAGAGTAAATAAGAGAGATATTCAGGATAAAACAGCCGAAAGCCAACCCATAATTATATCTGATAGTAAAGGCAACTTCATAAAGAGAGCCATTACAACTGAAGACTTCCTAAATATAAAATTTATCACAAAAAAGGACAAAAAGTACAGCAAACTATTGATTGGGCCGAAAAAGAATTACCATCTATCCGTCATCAACACAAAAACATCACATTTATATTTGGCTAGGAACCTGTAATTTAACCGAACTTAACAAAACTACCAGATACATCTCTCTTGTGAACCAAAACGATTCAAACGTCCGATATCTAAGAAGAAAATTTATTGAACTTAAGGCTGTCATCACCAAAATAAAACCAAAATCAGAAATCATCTTCTTAGAAGTACCGCCATACTCCATTCGGTGCTGGAACAGATCACAAGACCACAAAAACCCGGACATTTTCAGTGAAGACGATCAAACACTTCTAAACCAGTTATATCAATTAAACACCTTCATCCAAGAAATAAACCAATCTGCAGAAAAATCACCAAAATTTGATCTAGACATTCGAAAAACATCTAAAAGAAAAGGCGGTACTGACGAATACTACAATTTTAATCTATACAAAACTGACGGTGTACATCCAAACTCTTTATTAGCAAAGCTCTGGATGAGAAGAATAGCGACCAAAATTCTCCACAAATGTTATAGATAAATATCATCAATACAGTTGAATAGAATACTATATACATATATATATATATATAAACTTTATAACAACCATATTTAATTGCATTCATATATAGAAATATAACAGCTTTTATATAACCCTAGTCCATAGTGTATAACTAACAAATATAGAGATATATATCTACATACTCATTAAACCCTGACATCAGAAGATATAATAGTTAACTGGAAAATTCTTATTTGAGCAAGCTTTTAGTGGGGACGCCCCGCTGAATGCACATTAATCTACATAGAACTTCCTCGTTAAAAAATAAATAAATATCTAAAGTGAAAAATGAGTATCCAGACTAGAACATCAGCAAGAACCAAGAGCAAACCTCAGCCCTATACACCAGCTAAATATGAAAACTTTAGTATCAATAAAACCAGGGCCTTGGACAAAAAGCTAGAAGCATGTAATAGAACAATGGACATACAAATTGAGCAGAAACATCAAAACTACATCCTAGAGCTATCAGCAGCTGCTTATGAAATTATAAAGGGGGAAATAGACATATACTTTGAACAACAATCTACATACAAGCTCTTGCCAAAACACCAGCATGATAATCAAGGGCTATGCATCAGAACATCACATTCGGTCAGAAATAGAAGTAGTAACAGACAACTCTATCGTATCAATTTATTCCATACTACATCAAAGGTAGAGGTTAATGGCCAAGGTATGGAACACTTCCTGACACACATTGAAGATATAAAAGAAAGAATGAAATCAAGAGGGAACTATAAGATATATAACAAACAGATAGAGGAAAAGATAAACATAATCAAGAGAAATGAAGCCGATATAGAAATAAGAGCAAAACAGAATGAGTCACTTGTAAAAACAACAGCTCATCAGCCTAAAACCAACCACAGTAATATAATACTAGTATCCAAAGGGGCAGAATGTATACAAAATACTGACGAAGAACTTCTAAGTAACTGGAATAGAGCCATTGAATGGTCAGAAGATGAACCAACACCAAGTCCGGACACAAGTGCAGTCAGCATGTCTACTATACATAACTACTGTGCCACATGCAATCAGACAGCACAACCAGAAATATCCATAGACTGTATTGCATGCGGCCAACTGTTTCATTATACATGTGAAAACATTGATCCTGTAAGGATAAGCCAAACTGAAGAAGAACAGTATTCATGTAGGAGCTGCTCTATTATGGACATGGACATGGTTAATATATCAATGAGAAGCAATAACTCAATTATAGATACAGAAGAAACAATACCAAAATTAAGTCTAGAAGAACAAGGCTCGACAAAGGAATATAGTGAAATGGCCCATATAGTTAAAAACGTGCCAGACAATACATCTAAAGACTGTCCAACTAGAAATGATGTTACGAAGGAAGAAGCAGGAAATGCAAACACAGAAGAATTAGAAATGAACAAAATGGCTACATACAAACAACCTAACCAAATATTACAGAATGGCAGAAATGAACAAATAGAAAATGTAGATGAGCCAAAAAACATGAAAGCAAAACCGAAAAGGCAATATAAGTGCAAAAATATAAATGAAACTACTCAACAGCTGGAAGATCAATTAGCACAATGCAGAGCAAGACTAGTCATAATGGAAGATACCAATAGAGACTATAGAAATACAATCAATTTACTTAGGATGCAAACAGAAGAAAGCACCATTGACAAAAGTAATTTAAAATCCTATCAACCAAATTGTAACTGTAGCAACAACTCGCAGGAGCAGACTATAAACAAAGTAGATATGATGCTGAACAACTTCAGGCTAGAAATGGAAAATAGAGACCTAAGAATTAAACATCAAATGGAAATGAATGAATTAAGAAATAAACTGCAAATAATGGAACTACAGAAAGAACTAAGAATGTGGCAAAGACCAGGAAGTCATGAATATTATCCTTATAACCAGAATATGGATAATACTAGGAACACAAACCAACACCAAATGAGTGATCAGCATACTGGCGTAAGCTAACAAATCAGCAATCCAGGATTCCTAATCAAGCCAATGCACTATTCATGAATCATTTGGCACCTCCACACTATAGCCAGATACCAACAGAGCAGAGCAGAATAAATCATGGCCATATACAAGCGCCAATGTACCACAATAGCAGAATACAGGCTATACCTGCAAATGGCCAAAGCAGCCACTATTACACTGGCTATAGAGGTATACCAACTGGCAGTATCAACACTAACATGATACAAAATGCACATTTATACAAACAGCAATATAGGATAGCTCCACAACCTATACCACAAAATATAAATTACCACCAAGGATATAGTCAACAACAGACAAACAGAAAGGAACAAAGTCAAAGAAACATCAATAAAAGATTCTATGACCAAAGAACAAACATGCCAGTAATAGCTAAACAAAGTCAGGCAGAAGAAATTGAAAGACAAAATCAACTACAACAA